AACAACTTCTGGATATTTGCTTCAAGGCCATCTCCATGTGTCGCTTCTGGATATTTGCTTCAAGGCCATCTCCGCTTAATCCTGTGTAGGCTGTTTTTTCTGAGCTGGGTGCTCTCCAGATAGATGGGGCTACAGCTTCCAGCACATGCCACATCTGGGGTGGATGTAACGAGAGTGCTGTCTGGATATCTGGAAGGACCGAAGCAGGGCAGGCTGCATTAATTAAACACTGGCGTGATTGCTCTTTTCATATCAGTTAAAGCTCTAAAACAGCCGTTCCCAATCTGGTGCCCCTCAGAGAGGTTCAAATTTAGCACCCCCACCCCCACTCCCCACACCTCCAGCCTGCACATCCAAGTTGTGGAAGACTAGGCTGTTGTAAGTTGGCTTGATTTCAGGTGACGTCCCACATTTATTCCAACAGCGGACAATAAGTGGAATGTTTATACAGTTTGCTCATCAGATGGATGCCTACAGGTGGGGCATTTGTTTCGGTTGCCTGCTTCCTTTTGATAAGCTCTCCGATTTTCCCCATTATGGCCACGGTCTAGAGGTCACTTAGAGCCAAATCTTGGCTCTTGAGACGACAGTGAAGTCAGTTTTTCAGAGTATGTTCGATGACCAAATCTGTTTACAGAATTATTCTTTGGAAGCCCAAATCTTTTCTTTAAGACTTACTAAGCAGGTACCAACCCATAGCTGAGAAAAATTATTTGTTTCTCTGTATATCTGTTTCCCAGCACTTCTAAAGTCTCACTAACAGTAAAAAAGAGAGATTCTTTCTCCCCAAACACTGCAATCTAAGTTTAAAAATGAAAGAAAATGATTACAAGAGTGTATTGAAGTTGTTTCCGGTACAGGTAGTCCTCACTTACTGACCACTGTTCAGCGATTGTTCGAAGTTACAACGGGGCTGAAAAACAAGACTTATGATCGGTCCTCGAAGTTGCAGCCATTGCAGTGTCCCCATGGTCATGTGATTGCAATTCAGGCACTTGGCAACTGGCACGCAATTACAACAGTCGTAGCATCCCATGGTCACATGATCGCCATTTGAGACCTTCCCTGCTGGCTTCTGACAAGCAAAGTCAATGGGGAAGCCAGCAGGAAGCCTCAAGTCCCAGTCACATGATGTTGCTCTTAACAACTGCAGCTGGAACTGACGTCCTAAGTTGGTGTGGTCACGTGGCGTCATGCTTAACGACCGCGCTGCTTAGTGACTGAGTTGCCTTCCCTGTTGTGGTTGGTACGTGAGGACTACCTGTATATGTCCATATCAGTTTAATATAACTACTCCCATCTGGAAAGGAAGCACGGTTAGATGGGAACGGAAGCCCACCACATCTAGGGGAGTGTCAGGTTGCAGAACGCAGCTCTGGGCCTTGCATTCCTGCGGCCTCAGAAGAGAAGATTAAATTTGTTTGCAACAAGGGAATTAGCTGCATGGCCCAACAGTGGTGAATAATTGATGCATTTGATGTTGTGCCCTTTGTTTCTGATAATTCAATCAACTGATGGAGTTCCCTGTAAAACAGCCTGACATCTTTTAAATTATTCAGTGGTGGAGTTCCTATTCTCCTAAATTAAGATGTCCCTGTTGCTGGCTGTTCTTCTGATTAGCAATGTTAACTAGTAAGGCAACTGCAGCTTAAACCTTTCAAAGACAGGAACAATCCAACTTTTACGATTTCTTCTAAGCCCCTTGCATCTGCCTAATTTCGAAATTGATTTATCCTACCTGAACTGTATCTAGCAGACTACAGGTAGTCCCCGGGTTAAGAATGGCCGGGTTACAGACAACCCATAATTAAGAGCGGAGCCTATTATAGCAAAATTCGAGTTAAATACACAACGATTCAAATTAAATACACAATAGTTCAAGTTCATTACACAATACTACTTATACAGTGTTATACAATACTGTAATACTGTTCTGGCTTACATACAAATTCGACTTAAGGACAGACCTTGGGAATGGAACTCATTCTTAAACTGGGGACTACCTGTATCTGCAACTATCATAAACGCATGCTGGTTGTGAGGCACCCAAATTGCAATCATGTGACCATGGGGATGCTGTAGCGGCCGCAAGTTCGAGTATTGGTCGTAAACTTACTTTCTCAGCGCCGTCGTAACTTTGAACGGTTGCTAAACAGGGCAGTTGTTAAGCAAGGTCTACCTGTACAGTCTAGCAGCCTTTCTCTGGATAAGATACCTTCTCTTCCTTTGCTCCTCTTCCCCATAGCAGGTGCCAGTAGCTCTGGTGGTCTGCAGACTTTTTCCAAGTTGCAAGTGGCTTTATTGACTTGGGGCTGCCTCCTGAGAAAGTTGGTGGCTGGACAGTCCACTGGGACATGCTATCAAGGAAACGTTGCTGGTGACATCTGTCGTGTTTGCTCTACCTTGATTTTCAGAAATCCTACGGAGCCTATTAATGCATCATGCAAGATTGCTTTCCATATGTGGGATAACTAGGCCTTGGATCGGTTTTGCAGGTCCCCCCTGAATTTTGGCTGAGTTTAGGCCGAGGCACACTGCTGAATCACTTAGACTTGAGGTGGTCGCTTCACTAAGGAGCTCATGAAAGCTTCTACCTTTTAATCAGATTTGTTAGTTGAAAAAAGTGCTACCAGACCCTTTGTTGCTGTAGACCAGTGTTTCTCAACCTCGGCAGCTTGAAGATGGGTGGACTTCAGCTCCCAGAATTCCCCAGCCAGCCATGGGGAGTTGAAGTCCACCCATCTTCAAGCTGCCAAGGTTGAGAAACACTGCATAGACCAACATAGCTCTCCTCCTACAATGGTAATCTGGAGAAAACACACCAACCAAACAGCTGGAAAATAAGGGGGGAAAATGGTGTGAGAAAAAGAAAATCAGGTGCACCCATTTCTTACACGTTATTCGACTCTGACAAAGAATATGCCCTCAAACCCACTGCAGTTTTGGATACAGAAACGAGTACTTTTTTCTCATACCAGTTCCCCCCCTCCCCAGATGCCTTCTAATATGCTCGGCAACTTCTTCCCAGTTCTCCTTTCACTACACCGCCAGCCGATGCCCTCCTCCACTCTTCCTTTCCATCCCCCCAAAAAAACTGGGGTTCAGAGGCAGGACCCATGACGCTTCAAAGGCTGCAGCTGGCTCTGAATGCAGCAGGTGGGGGAGGCTGGGGAAGGCGGGGGAAGATGGGCGCGACCAAGAGGTGGGAGGGGAGCCTCTTGGCACGAACGGTGACTCACCCCAGGTGAGTTGCAAGTCATTCCAGGGGACTCCACCTTAGTAAACACACTCTAAAGGAAGCTGGGAAATTCCCCTTAGTTTCCAAGATGCTGCATTTCCCCCCGATGAGCATTCAAGATATCGTATTTCAGTCAAGGCCAGGTAGGGCTTGGCCCAGGTAAGGTTGGGATTGATGCTAAAAATAATAAAATAAAATAAAATAAAATAGCCACTTGAACTTTCAGTCCTTTGGGATACCTCTTTGCTTCTGGGCGTGATTCAGGGTCTGGTTAAGGTTTTTGGCCCCCTAAGTGGGCTGGGGTGATCTCAAGATCTGTTGGTGCCTCCAAGAAAGCTGCCTGGCACAGATAAACAGTGAGTGAGTGTTTTTCCCCTCCAAGTCAGGCCCCCTCGTTCTGGCTTTTGTCGGTGGCTTTTACCCAATTTGGGCGCTGTTTGTTTTAAACAGCCACACTGTTTTTGAGTCTATCGCCTGCGTCTCTGTAAATCTCGGTTTTAAATAGAGGTAGTTATATTTTTTAGTTGTGTTTCTGTTTGTTTCTGTTGGGCTCTTTTGGGCTCTCCTTAATGAAAAGAGGGGGATAACAATTATGAGGAATAACATGCAGTCAAGACTCTTGCTAGCTGTTCTGCACATTCATCTTTGAGAGACTGTTCAGCCGTGTGTTTATCAACCCTGCGTGCTCTTTTTTCTTTTTAAATTAGTCCTGGGACAGGAAGCATTTGCAATCTGGAAAACGTTCCAGTCCTACCTCTCTGGTTTCCAGATAAGGAGAATCTGGAGGGCCAGCCCCAAGTCCTGATTTCTCTCCCATTTCCCTTTCCTCTGCAAACTGCCTCTGCTCCAGGCTGTTCTGTGTGGCCCTTGGTTGTGTGCTCAGAGGAGCGGAGCACAGGCAGTCCGAACGCCTTGCCTCAGATGCTGGGAGCTTTAATGCCACTGTAGGTTACTAGTCCTGGCCAGGGAGGGCTCATGGAAGCTGCAGAGGAGCTAAAGAAAAGGGTGCCGTCGACATCTAGTGTATGGTGTTAGGATTGCAACATTCTGCAGTTTAACCCAGTGCCCAGCAAGTTCTCCACTTGTGCAAGGATTCCTCCCTATGCACAGAGGCTCCCCTGGGAGTAAACTGTGTGAAGCTCAATGAAGTTCATTTCTGATTCACCAGGTAGAAAAGGAAAGGGCTGAGGGAGGGTTGGAAGCAAAGTAAGCACAGGTACTCCTTGACTTATGACGGCATTGGGGACTGGAATTTCCATTGCTAAGCAATGCAGTAGTAAAGTGTGACTGCATTGCTTAGCGATGGCAATCCCTGCAATCCTGGTTGCCATTGTTCACCAAATCCCACTGTCATTAGGTGAGGCAACTTCCTGCTGGCTTCCTGCAACTAAGTCAGCGGGAAGCAGGCATGAATTTGCAGGTCCCAGGTGGCTTACAAGCAGGCCGGCAGGCAGGTGAGCGGCTGTTGCCAGGTGGGGGAGGGTGCAAGGGGGTGCATGGGGGTGTGCAAGTGGCCGGCACAGCATGAGCGCAGAGGGGCTGGGGAAGGGTGCACTGGGGGGGCGACTTACCCCAGCAACTTGTGACCTTCCCTGCCAGCTTCCCCGTTGACTTTGCTTGTGGGAAGATGGCAGGGAAGGTCGCAAATCGCGATCACGTGATCCCAGGGCCCTGCAACTGGTCATAAGCGCGAACGGGTTGCCAAGCACCCGGATCGCAATTATGTGACCGCGGGGGCGGTGGGACGGCCAGAACACAGAGGAACCTGGAACGGTCGCTGACTGAGTGGTCATAGAATGAGAACTACCTGTAACCCTCGCTCTGCGGTATTTCTGGATTGTATTTGTCGCTTTTCTTTTTGAGGTGTTTGAATTAATACCCAATTAGGCTGCAGTTTGGGGAAACAGTCTGTCCATTTCCAGGGAATGTTCCATCCTCCCACGCCAGTCAGAGCCTCTGTTGGGGCGCATGCGTGAAGGGGGTCTGGGTGCCTGCTCACTCCAAGCAGGGGTCCCTCGTGCTTTGTTGCTGCTGCTGCTGCTGCTGCTGCTGCTGCTGCTCCTCCTCCTCCTCCCCCTCCCCCCCCC